CAGAACTCCAGGAAACTCCGTCCTGTAGCAAGTCACTAGCGAGCATCAGATTAATTTTCTATAGTTTGGTTTGTAAGGGAGATGTCACGTGTGAGGATGGATGTCCGACCGACGACACTGGTTGGGTTCGCGCTAAATCGCGAATTGGTAGAAGTTAGAATTCATGGGCTGACCACTGAATCGGGTCCCAGTGGCTGAATGGTATACATGCTTGCCTTGTAACCGGAAGGTCCTGGGTTTGAATCGCAGTGGGTGCGTACTCCCGATGATTCCCAAACTAGGATGAAACAGCTGTTCAGTAGTCCCTGGTTTTCAATGTTTCTCTAAATGATATCAATCCGTGATCAACTTGTAAAAACATAGCTAACCCTTACAAACCAAACTATAGAAAACATATTTATATACTACTGATTGGTTGATATGAGTAGTTATATACATATAGCTCATGTCAACCGTCAATGTTAGCAAGCCTAATAGAAGCAACCTAAACACTGGAAAGTGGCTTTGTTGATTTGGGCGTGGAGTTCATCAGAAGTAGTGCATCCGCGTCAAGTCAAGCTGGTAGCTGTGTAGAATTCAGATGGTTTGAACTGATTTGATTCTCAGAAGTGAGTGGCTGATGAGCACGACTCCAAGTGAGCAAAACGACTCTCTGGTATTTAAGTACGTTCGATCAGACTGGCAAGCACTAATTGCATATTAGTTTGTTTATTAGATGTATCACACAGTGATGAAACGGTATTATTTACTGGATGACGTTTCAAGCAAAATTTATTGTTCATAATCATTCCACCAATTGTAATCACACGACTTTGAAACTTTAGTTTTATAGTTTTCTTTGTCCTCTCCCATTTGTCGTAGGGGTAGTAGAATTTTCAATAAAAATAGGATTGGTGAAATGTTTAAATGACAGAGTATAAAAATTAAGTAGTACCATAGAAAATCTAAAACAGGAACTGATACACAAAAAAGAAGCCTAGAAACTTAATAATTACCCGGATAAATTAGTCAGAAAATATGTAAGGAAATGTGAAAATAAAATAAATAATGATAGAAGCGATAGTGATAATAACGATAATAATGATAATAATAATAGTGATAATAATAATATTAATAAAGATACCAATAATAAGGAATCTAAATCATCAGTAGTAATTCTATACAAGGAAGGAACCTCGGAAACCACTTTACGCAGAATTCTTAACAAGGCAGGCAGGAATAAAAGTGGCCCGCATCCAAAGCCACAAGCTCGATTAGAAACAAGCTTTGTCGGTTAAAGGATCAGTTCTGTAGAGCCAATTAAACAAAACAATTTAGTTTATCTAATACCCTGACTACAATGATTGTCAGGTCAAATACATAGGTCAAACTAGTAGAACAGGGGCAGTCAGGCTAGCGGTGCATAAAAACCTAGCAAAATCTAGATAGGTTGATCCAAATAAGATAAGAATTCTAGAGAATAGTTCAGCTACAACACTCACTACATGCAGTTACACACAACCACAAAATAGGATGGGAAAGGATGACAGTTTTAAAATCTAATGTCACAGGGTATAGGGAGAGATTGATAACAGAAGCTCTGTCTATCGAATCAACTGAAGAGAGTACGTGTAATAGGAATGATTCAACACCTGTCTCAGATATCTGGAAAATTCTACTACCCCAACGTGGACAAATAGGAGAAAACAAAGGTAACTATAAAACTCAAGTCTCAAAGTCGTGTAATTACAACTGATGGAATGATTATGAACAATAAATTTTGTTCGAAACGTCATCCAGTAAATAATACTGTTTCATCACTGTGTCATACATCTAATAAACAAGCTAATATGGAATTACTTACTACCACAGTGCCCAAGATTTACACATATATTGGCAAGCACTACTACTTGATGTGAGTGATATCCAATTACTCAAGTCAATCAATCGGTGGTGTATAGTTCCGTGCATCATTTTGCCAGTTATGGCATCAAGCTGATCATTTATTGTGGTCTGAAAAGTTTTGATTCTCAAACGAAACTGTGGCAAAAATTCAGACAGAACTGTACAAACTATGAGTGGTAAATGGACTTGTGAATTGCAAACTCGATTATTCGTTTACGTAATTTTGTATGTACGGTTGGTTGAGTTTCGTTAGACCAAAATGCTTGGTCTGTATGGAAATTTTGTGCCAAAATAGTATAATTTGATTATTATTATTATATTATTGTTTCCTTCAATTCCTAGAGAAACATAGGGCTTCCGCCATGCGTCTCCATTGCTTTCAGTTCCCTACTAGAATCTTCACCTGGCTCCAAGTCTGCCCAGACGTTTTCATCTCCTCTTCACATCTCCTCCTCCAAGTCACTCACCTTCGCACTGACCACCAACTCGCCGCTTCCCATTCAGTCGGGTTACACTCGAGCAATGGCTTGTCTAGTGATGTCACTGACTTGATGGTTTGTTTCCTCAGAGTATGACAGCCAGCCGATCCATCTCCATTTCTTCCTGCCTGCCTATTTGTTTCACAATCGGTTCCTGCTGAGTTGGTTGGTTCGCTCATTGCCAGGGATCTCTCTCTGTTGCTGATATATTCTGGCTGACCATCTGATCTTGAGTGGTATTGAGCGAAGACAGCTAGCTGTTGATGAAGGTCTGTAGTTTGATTGAGATGGTCTTTATGACGCTCTGGCCAAGTCCCTGATCCGTAAAGTGAGTAGCATTGACTTCACATTGGAGTTGAAAATCCGGATCTTATCTTCTTTTTGATGGTAAGTAGGGCTGTTGACCTCCACACAGACTTGAGAGTAATGAAAGCTTATCTTTCTTTTCCGATCCTCGCTTTTTGATATCCTCGTCGGTTCCGTTCGCCTGTAGTTGAAACGATGCTTCCCAGGTAGGTTGATGAAGGAGATTGTTTCTTTCAGATTCCTTCCATTGACGCTGATCGTTGTCTGTTGTTGTTGTTGCTGTTGGTGGTGTTGGCCAGGAATCTTCATCACCTCTGTTTTCTCTATGTTCACCTGGAGTGCTATCTTTGATGCTTCTTCTGTCACCAACTTGCTACTTTTTGCTTGCATATCTTCCAGTTTGTGGGAAATCAGACATAGATCATCGGTGAAGTCCAGATCCTCCAAGTCGTTTTTGTGAGTCCATTTTATGCCTGTTTCCTCATTGCCAGCTGTTTGTCGCATTATCCAATCTGCTGCAATCAGGAAAATCATTGGCGATAGTAGGCAGCCAGCCAGCCAGCTTGTCTTACTCCTGTCTTCACTTCGAAGGATTCCGTAAGTTTCCCGTTGAGGATTACTTGGCATGCAGTATTGTCGTACAGCTGTTGGATGAGATGAATAATTGTCGGTTGCACCCCATAGTAGCTAAGTAGTTGCCAAAGCACATAATGATAATAATAATTTGTAGTCCAAGTGAATATTTTTGGTGTGGTTGTGTCCTTTGACATGAGTAGGATTCAGTGTCCTTCTAGACAACATATTCAATACTTACTTCAATATCCTTCAAGATTAAGATCATTTACAAATCAATTGTATAAACTAAGATGAGAATTAAACAAAACAAACTAGACATCTCCTTAAACTTCCAATCCAGTTGCCAGAAGACACGACATATACCTCTTCAAATCAATATGCGCAGACGACTAGAGACCCCAGTTTCAATTGGAAAATATGAAAACTTCAAACGGTGGAAATATTAAAGATGCTTAAGAATTTTGCGAAGTTAGGTAATCAGATGGTTCTTCACTCAACGGTCACAATGACCCTCATCAAATCTGTGACACAGGGATAATAAAAATTCTGAAGTTACACGAATCATAGCCAATGCCTTAGAGAAAGATAATTGGATCATTTACAGTGAGTTCCAAAAACATATTACTTCCAATTGAAGTTGTCTAGAAGGACAATGAAATCTTCGCAATTAAACCGACTAACTCAGAGGACATTGCAAAACACTTTCACTGGGATTTTGATGTAGTTGTGTTCTCTGAGCTGGATAATTAATTTGCGGAGCTTTCACCACTCTACTGGGTGACATCTTCAGCGCATACCCCGAAGCCAACCTATCAAACCAAAAGCCTCCAAGGAAAGCACAAAGAAAATTGCCTTACTATATATAAAGGATATCTCAGAAAGCACTACAAGACTCCTCAAACCTTTAAGAATTGACGTCGTACACAAACCAACAAAGTCACTTGACTCAATTCTATGTCAACCGAAAGACTCAACAACGAAAGAAGATAAAACCAACATCATCTACAAAATAGATTGTATCAACTGCGAAAAACACTACATTGGCCCAAGTGGACGTCCCCTTCGTCTTAGTGTCAACGAACATAAGCTAGCTGTCAAAAGACATGACATCCACTCCCTCATATCACTAAATACAGACAACCATAGACATCAATTCGACTGAGACAACCAACATTCAAATATTAGACAGAGGAAACAACAAGAGTGCTAGAGAATTTTTAGAAGCTTGTCATTCCAGTGAATCATCAATCAATAGACGCATCTGGATTGACAAAATTTATCAACTGATAAGAAAGAAACCTCACACACAAAGGGTCAAAGTTCAAGTCAAAGAAACAATGAGTGACAATACAAGTAACCTAGAAGGTGTGAAAACACACAAAAACAACCAATCACGTCCAAGGTCACCGGAAGAGGTGATTGATAAACTCGTGGAGAAATCTAAAAGCTGACTTCAAATTGAAGTATGCGCTGAAGATGTCACCCAGTAGCGTAATGAAAGCTCTGCAAATTAACTATCCAGCTCAGAGAACACAACGACATCAGAATCATCCACCTGAGCTACAAATCTTCTCTATCATATCTACTTTCACTGGGAATTAAGGAAGACCGATGAATCAGTCCGCCGTTGAATAGACTCATCTCCTGAAAATGAGACTGCTCGTCATGTATATATGTTTGTACATAGTACCATTTCCTTTTTTCTCTTCAAAATGAATCGATTTAAAAAGAGAAAGTAAAAACATTTAAGCTTACTTGAACATGTGTCAGTCTATTAGTCAATTGATTCATCCAATGAGCTTCACGAGCTGCATTTATTCTAGCCGATCTTATCAAATCCATATTGATATGATTTGGTTGAATTGTTTTTAGAATAGCATTCGTTCTCTGTCTACAATCTTCTAGTGCACGTGATCGAGCAAATACACCGGTTCTGAAAAATTGTTAAGGGAAAAGAAAAGAAAGAAAGAAGAACATTATCAAATAGAATATTGTCCGTAGTAATACATTGAGCGTACCGATTATTATTCAATCTATGAATGAGAAAAGTAACAGTTGTGATTGGATCATTTCAAGGGGAGAAGATATCCAGTGATTCTAATGTAATTAATCAATCAACTTAAACACTTATTATTATTGTTCCCTTGGGTTCTTAGTAGAACATAGGGCTTCGACTACACGTCTCCACCTGCTTCTGTCTTCTGCTGTACTTTCCACCTGCATCCATGTTAATCCATACTGTTTCAGTTCCTCTTCACACGATCTCCTCCATGTCACCATTGCACTGACGTCCCACTCGCCGCTTCCCTTTCGGGTTACACTCGAGCTATGGCCTGACGCGTTATGTCACCCAGCGAGTGGCCTCCTCAGCGAGTGAGTGTCCAATCCATCTCCACTTTCTCCTGCATATTTGTTGAGCGATTGGTTCTTGTTTGTTTTGTTTCTTCCCATAGTTTGTTTCCTGTTGGTTCTTGTTCTTTTCGGCCATCTGATCTTCAGTATAGAGCCAGCGAAGACAGTTAGTTGTTGATAAAGGTGTGCGACAGGCTGTTGGAAATATTCTTTGTGACCCACCGCCAAGTTTCTGATCCATCCGTATAGAAGAACTGACTGACTTGACGTTTGTATTGAAAATCCAAATCGTTTTGTTGTTGATGTTGCTGAGTGACGAAGATTTTGAGATTGGTTTCAGGTTGATGAATGTATTTCTCGCCTTCCCGATTCTCGATTTGACATCCTCATCCGTACCTTCAACGCTGGTCATTTATTTTTTCATAGTACGGCATTCTCAAGCGTCACATATCCAAGGCAAAACCAGAATCCTATTGAGAAGTCACTTCCATCGAGGTGGTTCCACCGAATCGTATGTGAGGACACATTCTTGCAACTGATCTAACCGTGATTACTTGAAAATCTCTAGTTTAATTCTTTGCGTAGTCATGGCTGTGTACCTACCTTCAAGGTGTCCAAAACTAGGGCGAAATAGCTGTTGAATACTTTCTGGTTTTCAGTAGTTCTCTGATGTATACATTACTAACCTTTGATATTTAGATGACTGTGATTATGACTCTAAGTTGTGTTCCATTTCCCGGGTTATAGAACTATTGACGTCCTTCCATATTTCCTGTTGATGGACAGCTTGACGTCATGATGAAATTGCTGTGTATTTGAGGGGATAATAACAGGGTTTTAAAAACCTTCTTAATGATGAAATTACTTGATTAATAAGCCACGAAGGACATCTATCAATGACTGAGTAACACAGGTTATCCTATTATGTTCTCTGTTTTCTCGCTAACCCTAGGTTTTGTTGGAAAAAGTACAAAGCTGGTCAGCTCACAATATGGCATAGTTGTATCAAGAATAGTTTTTTAGGTTAGCATCTGTCGTCGTCCAACAGGTTGCAGACCTTCATCAACAACTGTCTTCGCTCTACACTGAAGATAAGATTGCCGGAAAGAATCACCAACAAGAGACTATGGGAAGAAACAAAACAAAAACCAATTGCCCAACAAATATGCAGGAGAAAGTGGAGATGGATTGGACAATCGCTGAGGAGGCCGCTGGTGACACCGTGCGTCAGGCCAACGCTCGAGTGGAACTCGAAAGGGAAGCGGCGAGCGGGACCTCCAAGGGTGACATGGAGGAGATCGTGTGAGGAGGAGCTGAAATAGTATGGACTAACATGAATGGAGGTGAAAAGTACAGCAGAAGACAGAAGCAAGTG